TTCAACTGTTGTGTTGGCTGTAGACTTTGTCTCATGGGACACTCTTGGCTCTGATTCCAGTTGAACCCTAGTTGATTTTTCCTTGGTGCCTAATAGGACACTTTGCTTTCTGCTTGCCTCTTTCAATCCAATGGTCTGGACGTATCAGCTCCTCCTTTTCAGACTGAGCACATTGCACTGCACCTTCAGCACTTATCTTCCTGATAGTCCCTGCATTAATTATTTCTTCTTTTGTAAAGAAGGGCCTGCATTTGTTTCCTTACTGAATTTGAATAATCGTGTGAATTCTGTATTTTCCTTTCCTTGTCTCAATAGGATGTTTAATTTAGTCGAAGGCTTTGTGTGCACTTGCCAAAGAGACTCTTCCACGTGTTCAGTGAAACTCTTCTTTCAGCTTAGAATTATGGAGAGAAGTTGACTACGAGCGCTGACTTGAAATCAGTGCTTCTGAGGGTCAGGGGGCTTCCTTGTAGAATCAATCTCCCTAGCCCTCTTGAAGCTACCTTGGTTTTGCAAGAGAAAGTTGGTGTTTGAGTGAGCACCTGAGTTATATTTATTATTTTCCCTTGTGTCTGAAGGTTTCAGTGCACGTAAAACACCAGATTTAGTGTTGGCATTTGCCCTTGGAGAAGGGAAAACCAAATTTATCACTATAGTGACTGCTAATGGCAGAGCACCACACATAAGCTGCCCCTGATTTTCCAGGGATGGGGAAAAGTGCTTCCTGGCTCTCTCCTGTGTACTCAATCCCATCGCAATTAAAATGTAAGACAATGGGGGTGACCTCCAGGAGGACACAGAATCTCCCACGGGACCTGTGACCCTTGGGTTATGGCCATAAATCTGTGGCAAGCGGGCAGGATGGCTGATGCCCTCTGGTGGCTTTTCCTGGCTATGGCCATGGGCTGCTGGCAGCTGCAGGGAGGAATCCTCATCAGTGGTAGGAACAGCGAGATTCCTCTCAATGGGTTCTAGCTGCTGAATGGTTCTTGGTCACTCTGCTCTGTGGCTGCCTTTTTGGTCCTTTTGTTCCTAGGGATTAGAGCATGGTTCCCACAAGGTTGAATTGTGAATGATGGTTTTCTGGGTGTTAGGGGCAGGAAGAGCAGCCAAAACCTTGAGCTTGCTGGGCTGATCCATCCCCAATGTTCCTGCATGTCACTTGGGCTTGCAAGGTGGAGGGGGTCTGCAAGGCTGACCTGCACCTCCCTCTGTGGCTACCAAGGAATAAACTGTGCTTCTTTCTACTGGATTGCAAGGGTGGCCCAAGGTGCACAGTGTGAGGCAGGGAAAGCAGAATGCTCAGGGACACTTTGTGCACCTCCACCTTGATGCATCCATTGGGATCCAGGCCCATCGAGCTGGCTCACCATAGCTTCTCTGATCTGCCTGCATCCTCTCCCATACAAGGTCTTCAGAAGACGAGTGTGTCATCCCTAATGTGAACCATGGAGACTGCATCAGCATGCAACATACTCTCTCATCCTGGGAGCACTTTCTTCCCCCTGGCTTTCAGATGTTCTTACTCCCATCACTGTACCTCAAGGACCTTTGTTTCTCAGGCCTATTTGCTGTTTGTTCATCATCTGCGTAACTTTAGAATGTCTGTTTTATCTGCTCATTCTCTTGGGGATCCCTGTCAACACTGGAAATGAGGAGGCAAAGAAAGAGCATATGCATCCATCTATGACTCAGGAGCAGCCCTGGGACGCCGTGCACATCTCACACCTAACAGCACCTGGGACGCCGTGCACATCTCACAGCTAACAGCACCTGGGCTTTTCTTCCTGGACAGATGTCCTCACTGGTCCCAGTGAAGGCAGTCCCGCTCTCCAGTGGTTCAACTCAGACACCCTGGGACCTGAGTCTATAAGTAATGAGGATTGGTCGTGTCCACTGCTCACAGCCTGGTCCATGTAGCCATGGCTGGGCAGCTCTATTATTGCAGCAGTCTTACCATGAGACAGGCCTATGCTTTCACACGACCCTTTTATTCTAGCTACTAATAAATCTGGGCAATATTGTTATAACCAGCTATTATAGGTATATACATCAACTTAGGCAGTTGGCTCTCTGAGCCAGATGTTGACTGGCACTGCCCTGTCGATGACTCTCTTGTGGCCCCAGCTCACAGATTGGCAGTCCAAAGTCCTTGGGATGTCCCTCAGGACCTCCTTCTGCAGTTTCCTGTCTGCTGGACTTTTTCTGATTCTCTAACAACCCCAGCCAGACCTTTTGCTCTGGTTGTTCCCTCTCAAGTGCTCTTCTCCAATCTCATAGCTCTTCCCTCTCCTCTTCAATGCCATGCTCTTCCACCTGTTTCCGCACAACCCACGCAGACCACATACCTCCCACTCTATGCCTTGCCATATCTGCTTTCCCTTGTTTCATTTTTTCCCCGCTGTGCATGATATTTTTATCATGCCCTGTGATATAGTCATTACACCCAGTCTCTGAATCCCTCCACTAGAAAGTAAGCTATACAGGGCATTACATTTTGTTTGTTCATTCTGGTATCTCTGGAACCCAGGATGAAGATTGGCACATAGCAGATACTCAGTCAATATTTGCTTAATTAATTTATTAATCTGGACCATGATATTAAGTGAGGAGGAAGACAAAATGCATTTGATGGCTAAATTAAGATCAGTGTTTATTTCAATTTACCAGATTAATAAGCCTAATTCATTGCCATAAGGATAAGGAAATACATGTAAATTTTCAGAGTCAAAGCTAAAATCCAGCTCTATAGACAAAAGGTGCGAGGAAACACCACGGGGAAATTTAAAGGTTATATTTGACTGCGAATTCAGAATTGAACACCAGGGACATGCTTTTGATCCAAAGGCAAGTGGTCATGTTAATAGATGCATAATACACAGATTATGGGAAATTTTAAGAATGCATTCATTTGAAATAGATTTCTCTAGTTTACTTTCCAAATGCCTGCACCGGCTGGGATGAGACCAGACAGGAGCTGGTGGGCCATTCGGGTACCTGACCCACCTGGTTACATGCTCATTCCTTGATCTTACTGGATTGTACTCTAGTCTTTGCTACTCCCTCAAACAGCAGTTCACTCCTGGACCCTGTGAGTTGCATTTGGAAAAGAGCCACCTTGGGCGACAACACATCATCGTCATGGGAGAAATATTTTTATTATATGACCATTCCCTTCAGCAAGGAAAACTCAGGGCAGCTCTGATCAGCTTCCTTAGATATCTCACAAACTGCTCTCTGGAAGAGGGTGCATCCTGCATTGTGTCAGTTGCAGAACTGAGAGCAGTGGGCAGAAGAGAAATTTCAGGTTAAGGTAGGGAAGATACGCACATTGGTCAAAGATCCAGAGATCCTGAGCGGCAGTTCTGGAAGCAGGAACGTCGCAATCTTCCCCGGCCCTGTGCTGTGGCAGAGCCAGAGCTTGGCAGCAGATATTTCCAGGGGAACTGGAGGGAGATTGAGGACCACATCAGATCATGTTCTCCAGGAAGCAGACATCAAGATGGGATTCGATGTGCATGAAGTGTCTTAGTGAGATGTGAGGAGAGCCAGAGGAGCCTGGGAGAGCAGTGAGACCCTCAGGAAGCTCTCATCTCCAGGAAGGAGAGAAGTGGATGGGAAGAGCCTTGGCCTGGCGTGCTGTCATACGTGTTGTGAAGGCACACAGGGAGCTTTTGAGGAGAAGCTGCCTGTGAGTAGAGTCCTACATCTTGCAGAAGTGGGCCTATGCTACTTCTTGTCACTGCCTGGGAACAGCCTGTAGGAGGCAGGCCTGTGTATGAACAATGGATCTCAGGGCTCAACAACTGGAACCCTAAATCTGCGATGCTCCCAGTCTTGGATTCTAAGACTTCATGGCGACACTTCTCACTCTTCAGGTCTCCCTGGTACTGAGAGCATCTCCAGGACACATACGCTGTGTGCCTCCATGCCCCTCCAACACAGGGACTGTAATACCAGGTGTTCATGGAGAGTACAACAAATGGTGGCAAAGGCAACAGCCCTCCTGAGACCCAGTAACTGTGCCCTGGAATTCCAGGTTTTGGAGGCAGATGTGCTAAGTTAAGGCAGCTAGGTGTTGCTAGGCCACAGTCCCCAGGGAAACCTCCTGTGAAGAATTCAAGTGACAGGATGATCTTGGTGGCTGCAGAAATAACAGGACAGAACCCCTGGGCCCTGAGTAGAGTGTGGAGGGAAGGTCTACTCACTAGCTGTCTCTTCTCCTGGAATGATAGCCCTCACCGATTATTTCCAGAGGGCTTGCATGTTTCTCCCTCCGAGTAAAAACTGTTGAGTCAGGACTGAGGTATGATGTCCAAGCAGAGATTTCTGAATCTGCTTTGCAGATTGGGGCGTTGCTATCCTGCTCACAAGTGTGTACTGTGCAATGCTTCTTCGTGTGTTTTCATGAACTCCCTCCTGCCAACGTCCCCGTTTAGGAAATTCTGACAGCATCTCTGTTGTGGATCTGTGTTTATGACTTAAGATGTTGCCTCTTCTCCTTTGGATGCACGGTAAGATCCTCCATGCACTATCAGAACCAGATGTTCGTAGAGCATTTGTTTCCATTGCTCAGTAATTCTGCACTGGCCGATTCTACTCTCTCTGTTGTCTCCTGCCCTCTGTTTCTCTTCTCAGCAATAGCTCAGTCTGTTGTTGCAAAACGATTATTCTTTCAATGCTTCGTGCTCAAACACATTCTCTGGTTCCCCCTTCTTTCTTTCCCTCTGACTCCTCCAATCCGCTTTTTCGGGGTCAAGCATTTCTCCTTGCTGCTCAGGAAAATCCTGTCTGCCTTCTAGCCACTGGCCACCCACATTATTTCAACTCCATTTATTCTGCAAAATCCCCCAGGAATTTTTGTGGATCTAGCTCAGTTAACAGGAGACCAAGGGCAGAGTTCACATGCAAGACATGTCTTCCCTGTTTACTTTCCAATGACGGCACTGGTCCTGTATCAGAGTGTCTGTTCAGTTGTTTGTGTCTTCCTGTCTCCACAGCCCCCTCCACCGTCCCCATCATGCACCAAGTCAGTGCCACCATGAGGAGCATCACCCTGTCGTGGCCACAGCCAGAACAACCCAATGGCATCATCCTGGACTATGAGATCCGGTACTATGAGAAGGTGAGCCACGTCTCTCTGCAGCTTTGTAAAGCCCAGGGCCAGTTGAGGGCACAAAAAGGCGGGTATGGTGGGAGTTCTGAGGGCAAGGGAGGTTGGTGAGAGATGTCAGAGGCTCCCTGGGGAATGGTCTGGGGCCTGGGCCAGGCCAGGCAGAAGTTCTGTTCTTCCAGTCCAGTGTTTGCTGAACTTCTGCAGTTGCTGCCAAGTCGCCGTGGTCCCTCAGGCCTTCAGAGGGGTCCGTGGGCTCCCACAGCAGAGATCCTCAAAGGGTTCTGATCATGTTGTCTCCCTATAGATTTGCTTATTTGTAAGTTATACACATGTACCACTGAAATAATAGATTCGTGGAGATTAACTGTGTAAACAGATGATTAAAAGGATGAGCTCAGAGTTAATGGAGATAAAAATTTATGTATTATCTTCTTTGGCTGCTCCTTAGCAGCGGCTGCTGGGGGGCTGCAGCAGGGCCTAACTGCCAAGAAGAGGGAAGCAGTGCCCTGTGGAGTTGGTCCCTGGCCCATCTGCCTCCTGCCTGCCATGGTGAACTGCATCTGTTCCTGCAAATGCAGGGCTTTTTACAGTAACTCAACTGTTACTTGCTAGAAGTTGAGATTCTTTCTGTTTTAAAAAAGCAAAGGCAGAGCCCGGCGGCATGGCCTAGTGGCTAAAGTCCTCACCTTGAACATGCCAGGATCCCATATGGGTGCTGGTTCTAATCCCGGCAGGTCTATTTCCCATCCAGCTCCCTGCTTGTGGCCTGGGAAAGCAGTGGAGGACAGCCCAAAGCTTTGGGACCCTGTACCCGTGTGGGAGACTGGAGAAGTTCCTGGCTCCTGTCTCCAGACTGGTATAGTACCAGCCATTGCGCTCACTTGGGGAGTGAATCATCGAATGAAAGATCTTCCTCTCTATCTCTCCTCCTCTCTGTATATCTGACTTTGTAATAAAAATAAATAAATCTTTTTTTAAAAAGCAAAGGCAGAGTCACACACACACACACACACACACACACACACACACATAGATCGTCCATCTGCTGTTTCACTTTTAAAATCATCAGAACTTGGCCAGACCAAAGCCAGGAGCCAGGAACTCTGAGTGTCCCCATGGGTAGCAGGGTTCCTAGTGCACAGGCCATCTCCAACTGCTTTCCTAGGTGCATTGAAAGGGAGTTGGATCTGAATGGGAGCAGCTGAGACTTGGACCTGAGCTTCGGTATGCGATGCTGACATCACAGACGGGCGGTAAACATGCTGCCCCACAGCACTGACTCCTAGTCCATGTATTTGTTAAAATATCAGATTTGTTCAGGTGTGTTTGCTCAGCGAGTGTTTATTGAGTGATTATTGTTTGACAGTTCCTATTGTCAGTGCTATCCTTAGATATGTAAGTGATCCAACAGTGATGACTACCCAGGGAGACAAGCAAGAAGCAATGAGCGAAATACAATAGGAAGCTATACAGGATGGCAGGAAATGGCAGCATCAAGAACAAGAGAGAACAATACTGGGATTTGGGAGAGAAGTGGGTTGCAGAATGAAATATTAAAGTAAATATAGAAGCAGATGAGATCTGAGTGAAGACCTTGAGACGAGGCACTCACCTGCAGGCAGAAGGAGCAAGGTCTCAAGGCAAGATGCTGAGTGGTAACTTCAGGAGCCAGAGAGCAGCATGCCGGAGTGAACAAGCAGCGGGCGAGTAGGCAGGTAAGCTACAGGGCAGATTTAGGAACAGAATGGATAAGATATGACTTACATTTTAAAAGGGTTGTTTGGGCTGCTCCCCATTGAAGACAGACCTGGTAGGGCCACCTTTTAAGGGTGATGGTGTCTTTCACTGGACTAGAACCAGAGCAATGTTGGATGGAACCTACTTAATTTCCAGGTACTTAAGGTAAAAGCTAAGCCAGCAAGATTTCCCACATGTTGGATTCGGAGTATGGGAGGTTTTGTATAAGCCATGTGGGGTCACAATGGGTCCACTATATATGGAAAGGAAAACAGAAGTTCTGCTCTGTCCAAAATACCTGTGAGACACGTGGAATAGGCACCCCAGTGTGCACATTTGCGTGGCAAGAGAACATATTCCTCTAGGCAGATGGCAGGAAAGCCTTGCACTTGGATAAGTTATCCAAAGATCACCAGAAAGAATAGTTCAAGGATGGAGACTGACAGCCCTGCATGGTGGAGGTTGAGTTGGATCCTACATCATGGTTTTACTGGAAAGCAGAGTCTAGTTTCTGCGGCTGTCTGCATCTCATTGTCCTGCAACCGTAGTTAAATTACTCACCCACTCGAGGTCACCGGTTTTCACATTTGTAAAATGGTAGCAATTTGCCTCCCTGAAAGTGGAGGTCCAGACAGAAAACCAATCTAGTCTGTGTGGAGGCATGCCCTTCAGCCACCATTACAGCCCAACTTGTGTGCATGGTGGTAGATTCTGCGGTGTTCGATGGTGTTTAGAGAATATGGGCTTTTACAGACAATTGATTCAGATAATTCAGCAAATTGGGGTAATTTAAGCCAGCTAGATTCATAAGCATCTGTCCTATGTAACTCACTTTGAATCTGGGGCCCTTATGTGCTAAATGTTGTATTGATTAATAAAGTAAACGTTGACTTTCCAACGTGTTTGGGCAAGTCTGCTTGGACCAATTGGCCACACGGTCTCATTTTATCAGCATACTTGACACAATGGTTCCATCAAGTGTGAAGCTAGCAGAGGGTGTGACGTCAGAGGCAGGGCCTACCAGCTCCCCTTCCCACCAAATGAATTGGCAGCCCTGTGAAAACAGCAGTTCATCTCAGAAAAATAATAACACTTTATCTGCATCCGATGGGTGCCAGGGGCTTTATAAACCACAACTACTTTCTCCCACACATTCTGATGTGGTAGATATTAGTGTCATTGAAACTCGCTACAATCTCACAACTGGGAAGCAAGTCTCCCCCCGACCCCATGACCTGCAGCAGGTGGCTGTGTGGGGGGTGGGCAGGATGTGGTGGACACCTGCACCTCCTCCCACTCTTGTCTGCATTTGCCCAGAGGCATCGCTTCTGATGGGCAGCTGGGATGGGGAAGTGGTTCTGTGACAGGCCTGGGACTGCAGCCATGGGCTCATGCCGCTGCACCCCCCGGCTCCTGGCTCCCCACCCTAGCTCAGATTCCAATGCCTTTGCATGACATTTCAACCTCCTCCCTTGAAGGACTACACCTAATCTCAACTTCTTACGCTATGAGGGAAGCGTGTCTTCTCCCATTGCTGGCCATCTACTCTCTACTTGATCATTTACACCAATTATTAGCAATTATGTAGACATAGCAGCTCGATGCCTGAGGCGTCCCCACTCCCAGAGGAGAAAATGCTTTCCTTGGGCACACGGAGGATTCTTTGCCATAGCCTTGGTTGCCATCTGGCATATTACCATGGAACTTTCCTGCCCTTATAAAATGCTTGATCAATCTATTACATAGGCTTGTTCATTTCCAACATGACTGAAGATGTTAGCCTATGAAGGGGCATTTTGTAATAATAGCCCTACAGCTAATAAGTCATATATGGAGTACCTCTGAGCTGCCAGATAGATACGGATTTATTGGCTCTGTCCCTAAATGTGGAAAAAATCCTTGTAAACCAGATATAACCAATTTATAGATGACAGAACTAAGTCACAGAAAGGTTAAAGGACTTACCCATGACTACACAGGTCAAAGAATCAGAACTCTGGGTGTTTTATTATGATATTTTTACTAGAAGAAACTGCAGGGCAACATTGGAAGTGGGTGCAATCACCAATGAGGCTCAGGGTCTTAGTATTGGTGTGGAATCTGGCAGTAAGAAATTGCATGGTGGAATTTGGAAGTAGGAAGCTATATGTTAATATTAAATCCAAATACTTGTAACCAGAAGGCTTCTGCAGACTTCATCTATACGGCCCTGTAGTTCTGATCTTTGAGTACAGATAAAACTCATCTCCATGAATGTCCTGAATTCCTCACGAGGAAGCAAAACTCTTCAACCCCCATCCTGTGTCATGACCTCTCCACTAGGGACGGCCCAGCCCTTTCATCCCAAGCAGGAGGCAGGCAGTGTTTTCTGTAAAGAACCAGTAGGCTTGCAGGACCCGGATGTCTCTGTGGGAAAACAGCAGGGATAGACCATGTGTAGGTGGATGGGCGTGGCTGACTTCCTGGGCAGCCTGGTCTCTGGCCCAGGCACAGGACTGTGCACGCCCTGGGTCTGTCGCTCCCATTGCCCTCTGTGTGTGTGGGGCAGGGGGCAGTGGGAGGCACGTTTCACTGGCAGCTCCATGAACAGAATCAGTGAGGCCCTCACCTCCTCCAATAGCTCATTAATAGAGAGCTCAGGTGTCCCGGAGCCGATGACACTCCCAGAGTCTTGCCATGCTCATCTCTTTCCTCACTTCAATCCACCTCCATTCATCATTCTCCCTTGTTTACTGTCTTGTAGCACTTTTCACTCCTGGTGTCAGCGCTTATAGGCAAACCATGGGAGGAGCATCTACAGCTACACTCGGCTGTCATGATGATTAAGCACAGGGTTGGGGCTCGCTGCTTTCCTGCTAACTGTCTCGGCTAGGACGGGTTGGAGGGAGGTCTTGGGAATTTCTACCCTTTGGATTTTAGGATCACGTTCTCATAAAAATTCTTCCAGACCTTCGCAATATCTTGTGCTCAATTGATTGATTCAAGTAACTGGCCTACAGTGTGCTATGTATTCAATCACTTGGCATCATGCTGCTGAGCACCTGGGCAATGCATGCGCCACACTGTGCACTGGGGTGCTGGAGATGCAGAAGTGAGGGAGGCATGCTCTCTGCTCGCAACAGCTGCAGCCTCTGTCTCCCAGACACTTAGAGAATCGGTCATCAGCAGCCCTGCTCATCACTTGCGTTCATTTGCCTGGAATTGATTAATGACTGTGTGGGGAATAAGAATGAAGACTGATTTTAATCACTGAACTTCTTCAAGAATATGGGGGCTATGAAGTGATTATGGGTTCATGTTTGGTCCTCGCAATCCAAATGCCAATATGTCAAAACATTTTTCCCCTGTTAAAACCCAGTTATTGCTTCACTCATTTCAAGCTGAACAGGATTCCATCAGACTAATGAAACTGAGCTCCGGCTACTATCTGGATGTTGCAGCCATAGCATTTTATTTGTATTTGTAAAGTGATGTGGTGATTTGCATAGTTTCAGATCTTCATGGTGTCAGAATATTAATGGCTCGTGTCCTAGATGATGCCCTTTCCCTAGTGGATGAATCCCTGATTGAGCCTGGGGTGGGTAGGGTTGGGGGTAGGCGCAGAGAGAGCTGAAGATGTGGGTAGCTTCCCTTTGCACTGAAATAGATCAAAGGATGGATGGGCAGTTTCTCCCAGGGACCATGGCTGTCCTTTCTGTGAACTTGGCTCTTGCCTCTTTCTACCTTGGCACTGTCTGTCTGAGCTGGTCCCTCAATCCACTTCAGAAATATTCAGTGCCATCCACATGTCACCCACATTCCAAGTATTTCAATTACAGGCAGGTTCCTAACCTCCTCTGGGTCTTGCTTTTGTGTTTCTTTCTGCTCTTCCTCTCCACATGCACCCAAGCGGTTCACTTCTTTCATCTTCCAGGGCTTGGCTAATCCCCTCCTTTCCCTGAAACTCTCCCATAGCTCTCCTCTCAAGTCTGGACCCAGTGATTGCCTGCTGTGCCTCAGAGACCACTGAGCTGTCCTCTGCCAAGTCATTCAGCCAGCACTGCTGTCATCTTCTGTTTATTTTCTGATTTACTCTACAAGATGTTGCATCCCCAGGGGAGAGAGAGGATAAGCTTATACTCAAGTAACCAGCACCCAGACATGCTAATGTGACTCACTTATAACTACTTGGCCTGGCAAGCAAGTAAGGGAGGGTGGACACACCTCCCAGTTTTCCAGTTTTCGTTTGCCTCTTAGCAAGTAGGCTTTCCCCGATATCAAGGCGGTGGGGATTTGTTTTCATTATGTTGTCTTCTTTTGTCCTTGCTCAAGTCCCCTGTTGAGCTGTGGTGCCTAGAACTCACCATAGTAACCCAGGTCTGCACAGGGTATTTGAGGTTTTTCCTTCCAGTAACCCAAGCTCCTCCTTTGCAGTAAGGTATCTGTTTTGCTCTAGGATTCATGGTACAGACAAAAGCAAGCTCAACCTCTAAACCTTGGTTCCTGCATGTTGGGAGATAGCTTAGATCTATGCAGTAGAAAGATCTGCTCAAGTTGAGCCAATTGGAGATCAGGCTGAGGTCTAAAGTGTTAAGGATGAGATGCTAACTGGATGGACAGCAGTGGAAGTATACATGGTCCGGAGTGGTGAGGGATGCCTGCCCAGAAAGATACTGCAAAGTGTAGGCAATAAAGGAGAGCCAGTGATATGTGACCCAAACAAAGGCTTGGCGACCAGGATGTAGTCCTGCAGGGGCATCAGATGTGGTTTTAGGGGGATGTGAGAGGTTGGAAGTGACATCATTATGCATGTAGGAGCCCAGGCACAGGAGTTCAGTCTTCATACATTTATAGTTTAGGACCACAGTCTGTCATGGGGCAACGGGGAAGAGAGAGTTAAGAGCATTAGAAAGGGGAGGCTTCACAAGTCCAGGCACCAATGCCTTATTCAGGCAGCAGCCCTGTAATGGCACCCACAGTGGGCAGAAGAGCCAGGATGGAAGACACCCCTAAGAAGACAGGTATGCAGGTAACAGGACTCAGGCACAGGGTGGAAGGTGCTGGAGAGTGACAGACCAAACAGGCAAGCTGACCTCTGGGTAGGTGTAGAGACTATGGACACAGGGAAAAGGGGATGACCTTCCCTTATGCTGGGAAGTGGCAGACACAGGCCAAGGTGAAGGCAGAATCTGGTGTGGGAGACAGTTCAGAATGGTTTCAACCTCTTCAGCATGGTGGACACCCTGCCCTCATAGGGGCTTAAGGAGAGAGGGCAAACAGCCACTGTGGAGGTTGGGGTTGGCCAGGGAGACCCTGGAAGGGTCCTCAGAGAGGACAACTCAGCAAGACAGAGAAAGGCAGGCAGGGAGGGGATGGGTGGTGTTTGCTGCCTTCTGCTGAGGTTGGAGACTTGGTAGGAGTATGCAAAGCTGAATGTGCTATGTGACTCGGCCTCTGACTCCTGGGGAAAGGCACATGGGTAGAAATGACTGTGGACCCCCATAGCAGGTGCTAAGCACTTAGACACTCCCTCAGTCCACCCTGTGGCCCGGGACAGGCTGTCTGCAGTCAGAGGGAGGGCCTGGACTGGTGACAACTTCTAGCAGGCTTGGAGGGGGCAAGAAATCAACAGGGGTCTGAGTGCTCCAGGGACTAGCTGGCTAGAGGTGCAGCCTCCGGGAGCCAGCTGATGACGCCCTACCCCTTGCTCTGTTTCAGGAACACAATGAGTTCAACTCCTCCATGGCCAGGAGCCAGACCAACACAGCACGGATTGATGGTCTGCGGCCAGGCATGGTGTACGTGGTCCAGGTGCGCGCCCGCACTGTGGCTGGCTATGGCAAGTTCAGTGGCAAGATGTGTTTCCAGACTCTGACAGATGGTAAGGTGGGGGTGGGGCGAGGGGTGGGCTCAGGGCAAACTGTTGAATCAGAGCAGGAGTAGTCCCAAAGAAGCTCCATTTGCAGTCACAATGTCAACCTCCAGCTGGCTTCAGGTTCATGTCCTCAGCAAGGTTTGCTTCCTCTAGGGCCTCAGAGCATGCTCATTCCCAGGCAGGGCTTCTCTCCCCACATGCAGTTGGGTTTGCCTTGGAGGGACCTGTGTACCACTGATGACTTGCACAGAGAGCCACCCATGTCCCATGGTGCCATCTGGCATCAAGGCATATACCTGTGGCAGCTTCCCCCTCAGCTGGCTTCACTCTACAGGGTCTGGGGAGTGGGGCTGAGCTTGCGACCTGACTGTCTGAGCTGGAGTCTCCAGGAAGGATGGGGAGAGACATCTGGGGTATGACAATTTCCTGAATCCAAGATCTCTGAATCCCCATGGAAGCATCATGTGTGACCCCAGAGGAAGCAGCTACACTGTCCCTGTTGGCAAAGCTGCTTCTACCTTGGAGCTTCAATAGCTCTCTGTTACGTCTCTCTCCCCACATCCTCTAAGAACAGCTTTCCCCATTAGTTCTGAAAACCTCGTTTCCCCATAGTCAAGCCTTCGTATTGTGAGTGGGTCTGCTTGGCTGCATCCTATTTTTCTTTCCCGTATCTTGCCCTTTATACCTTTGACCACAGTTAATATATTCATTTATCTGTCTGCCCACCCACCCCATAAGAGGGTATTTCAAAAACGTTCATGGGAAAGCGGATTAAAGAATAAGTTTATTTTGAATGGTTTTAAGTTCATGCGTAATTTTTTTTCACAACATGTATTTTCCATGAGACTTTTAAGACCCCCTGGCACAGTCTCTTTTCTGAACTGTTCCCTAATAGTTGTTCACATGCTAGTCTATTCCAAATCTCCCAAACAGCACACTTTTCATTATTCCTTTATGAAGTTAAGTAAGAGCTAGTTGGACCTTACATAGAATGTTATTTTAGGCTAACATTCTTAGACCGTATGCTCAATACCCTTGGACATTTCATATTGACTTGCATTGGATTGTTAAGCAGTTAGATTAATTGGAAATATTTAAATATCAGAGTGTTTCTTATACAAATAAGAACATTAATTTTCTGGGGAAAAAGAAATCAACTTTGGCAGGCATCCCAGTGGGAGGACCCTGCCCTGGGGCTGAAGGGCAAGTGCCCTTCCCAGAAGGCAGTTCAGTCTGCATATGAACTGTTGGGGACCCTGTAGCACAGGGTTGTACCTCATTTTGTATTTGTTTTAGCTGAATTTTCTCCCAAGTTCTGAGGATGGGAAAATGGGGTAAGAAGGTGAGCCGGCTCACTGAGATGAACGATGCTGCCAGCATGCGAGCTGTCTGCACGTTCCTAAGGACTCTGTCACCTGCTCGGCACCTCACTTACCAGCGAGATTTATAGGCACTTTGGCATCAGGAGGTACACAGGATTAAAAGCCCAAAACTCAAAGTGCTCTGAGCACTGGTCTCTTGGCAGTTCTGCTAGACAAATCAAGAAGTAACAAATTCCTCCCAGGAAGCCTATTCCTTTTACATTTGGCAGTTAAGTTTTGCAGACCCAAGAGATGCTAGGAGTAAGAGAGTTCTGGTACGTGGCCAAATTTGGGAGGATTCATCTTAATGACTCTGGTTCCTCCTTCAGTACTGGTTATACTCATCCCAGCTGTCGAGCCGTCTGCAGGGCCGAGGTGAACCCAAAGGTTGACCAGCTTAGAATTGCTGGGCTGGGGAGAACGCGTGGGACCCCATCCAGGATAACGGCCGCACTTCGGTTGAATGACTTTCATGTGTCTACTCCCAGCGACTTTGCTTGAGCTGTCCGATGTATTCTTCTAAGCATTCAGGCTTCACAAACTTGCTTTATGAGGCTTTTAATTTGTGAAGACATTGCTTTTTTAAAAGATTTTTAAATTTTTATTATTGGAAAGGCAGATATACAGAGAGAAGGATCTTTCATCCACCTGTTCACTTTCCAAGTGACTGCAACAGCCTGAGCTGGGCTGATCTGAAGCAAGGAACCAGGAGCTCCTTCCAGGTCTCCCTCACAGGTACAGGGTCCCAAGGCTTTGGACCATCCTCTGCTGCTTTCCCAGGCCACAAGCAGGGAGCTGGATGGGAAGTAGAGCAGTTGGGGTATGAACTGGTGCCCACATGGGATCCTGACAGATGCAAGGCGAGGATTTAGCCATTCGGCTATTGTACCTGGCTCTGTGAAGAGTTACTGAACCTCACCATGGCTCCTCAAATTTTGTTTTTACCAAATCAATTTCTTCAAGCAATGTACCAAGGGCGCTGGAAGCTCTGCACTTGGTCTTAACATAGATTTCTCCAGAGGGTGAGGGCTCAAAGCCCAACACCTTGGCCTTTCGTCATATCTCCACCCAAGTACTTAAGAGATGGGTCTCAAGGGCTTGGAACAGAAGAACTCCCCTAAGTGCGACACACACAGACCGTGCTCTTTACCTGGGGATTCTGACTGGGACATCCAAGACGTGGCCAGAGAGGAGCCAGGCTTGGCTTCCAGCTCGCGTCATTCTGACGCTGGCATAGAGAACCTTCATGGTTGCCAGCAGGGTGAGCAGTTTAGTGTGAGTTTCAGATAAGCAACAAATAACACTCTAGCGTCATTCATCACAAGCAGCATTTGTTGTAGACTTAAACTGAAAACATTATTCATTTTTTTTTTAAATCTGGAGTTTAGCTGTTGGTCTTAGATTTTATTTATTATCTGGTGACCCTGATTCTACTGGAACTTCAGTAGCTTGATCCTCATATTCCTGAGTCTTGAGCATCAGCTACTGGTCCTTTCAACCCAGTGAAAGAATAAGCATGACAATACCTTTAGCAATAGCGATGACTAACTGGGGCAGGTAGCTCACACAGATGAAATATATTAGTACCTGGGGCACCTGTGCTAGGGCAGGCACTGGGAAATGTGCTCCACATTAAAAAAAATTTTCCCCAACAGATTGAGGGTGTGAGAGACAGGGAGACAATCATTTGTCCAAGCTCAGTGGGTGTACATGCAGACATAACAGGGTTCACGCACAGGCTCCCACTCCTCTGCAGAGTCGAGCATGGCTACAGTGTTCAGCACAGACCTTGGCCAGTTTCTAGCTGAGCAGGAGCTGAAGATGTGGGCCGCTTCGCAGGCGTCTCTTCACCCCACACAGCACCTGGATGTCTCAGCTGTGCTTTCTGCTCCCCCTCCACTGGGCTTCTCCCTACACAGCAGACCGGAGGAGCTACAGTCGGGGGATGGAGGTGGAAGCCTCTGCTCCAGTACTAATGCCAGCAGCCCTTTCTTCCCAGGTGTTCCCCAATATTTCCACTGTCTGGCTTACATTGCTGCATTCTGTCTTGGGTTGCCCTGTTGATTTGTATTTCAGGATCACTCTGTTGTGCTCAGGCCTCTAACTCCAGAGTGTATGCACTGTACTCCACATAGACACACGTACATGAGTGTATGATGTCCTGGTTGTTCCACACACCAAACACCAGCTGGATGCAGCGAGTGTCCTGTCTTAGGTACCATGCCCCTGGTACCAGCAGCATGCAGAGGTCCTGTGTGAAGGAGTCTAACACCACTTTCTCACCTAGATGATTACAAGTCGGAGCTGAGGGAGCAGCTGCCCCTGATTGCTGGCTCTGCGGCGGCCGGGGTCGTGTTCGTCGTGTCGTTGGTGGCCATTTCCATAGTCTGCAGCCGGTAAGCCCTTTACTTCCACCTGCTCTGTGTGGGCCCAGGAAATCACGGGTCTCTTCTTTCCCCTACCAGCCTTTGCTGGGCTCTGCAGACTGGGAAGCACAGGGCCCTTCTCAGAGAGCATCACCCTCACTCACCCCATCTCAATCCACAGGAAGCCTAAATGCCCTCTCTCTGCTAGGGAGCCAGGCAGGGCTGTGAGCAAAGAGCATCCATCCTCAAATCTCATTTCAGCAAAGCCTTTTAGCCCCACTCATACACAGTGGCTTTTCAGAGTGACAGTTACAGAATTGCATTTGACCTGCTAGCATGGGCACCCCCAACCCTGAAGCCCCCCTCCCGTGCACATCCTCTGCCAAGAGTGCTGAGAGCCTTGGGCAAGTGGCAGGCCAGGTGCAGGAGAAGAGCTGAGAGTCGTGCATGAGGCCAGCCTGGAGGCCCCATGCATCTTTAATGTGCTGATGTGCAGGCGTTCTCACTGCCGCTGCCCTCTGACTGGGCACGCACAGACCTACTGAGCTTCTCTGAGACCTTCTCTTATGGCAGACAGACTTGGCTGCCTCTAGGACTCTGGCAAGGACAGGAGTCCAAGAGGGCTGCTTAGCTTTCCACCCAGGGTGAGCCCGTTGTTTCCCCCTTGTCTGGAGCTGAGTGGAGTCCCTGCAGCAGAGTGGTGTGTGCACCCCCAACTGAAACAGTTCCTCTCCTCTGTATCCACAGGAAACGGGCATACAGCAAAGAGGCAGTGTACAGCGATAAACTCCAGCATTACAGCACAGGCAGAGGTAAGTGGGAAGTACACTTTTGCCTGGCCAACTGCTGAGCACTCCCTCCAGTCTTGCCTGTTGGTCCCTGGGGCAAGTGCCCCTCCAGCCCTAGGGCCCCACCAGCCACCTCTCTCTCTGTAGGTCCCCTTGGGGACCAGGCCGCTCACCCCCTCTTCTGTCTGCCCTTTGTGGGCACTTGTTGGATGCCTGACGAGTAGATTATCTTCTGCATAGATGATGAGCCCATATGGGTCAGCAGCAAAGGCAGGGGAAAGATTGGGTTTAGCAAGTCAATGAATGCGGAAATCAAACTCTGGGAGAGAAGATGGAGGGTTCTCTATTAACATCCTCTGCCTTATCTTATCCAGTTGAGTGGCTGGGGAATGTGTTAACCAAATTCACAGATAAGCCCTAGAACATGAATGTAGGGAATTAAAAAGATAGCAGAGCCCAAGAGGCCAAAGTGCTGGGCTATCTCCCAAGGGTGTTCTTTTAAGTGGTGCCTTGAAAAGTTTCTCTCCTGTCATCCTGCTTCTCTTTTCTGTTTGTTTTTTTATTTGAAAGCATCCATATTATAAAATATTTTTATACCTGAAAGCTCTCTTCTGTGTAACATCAAGTCCTGTGTCAGCACCATGGTTCCATCTGTGTGATTAGAACCTTGTGGGACCCAGAAGTTTCCCTTGAGGTCAGTTGGACCGCCTTCGGGCCCCGTTCGTGTCCTCACCTCTCAGCAGTGAGTGGAGCATGACACGCTTGTGTCTTCTCTGGAACAAAGAGAAATCCCAAACCACAGTCCCCAAGGCCCAGACTATCTCCTTTTTCAGGTTCCCTGAGGGCGGGGACAAGATGCTCAGACATTAATGGCAGCAGTTGGGCCATGATGGGGTATGTGTCCTAGTGTTGCCGAGTTGCTAAGCTCGGACCTGGTTGGTACAGAATACGAATGTTTGCATAGAACTGAGCCTGGTGGCTGGGCAGCTGTTGGTCAGGGAAGCATGATGTGAGGGGACGTGGGGTAAGTGCTGGCTTGGATGTCCATGATGGCCTAGGACGGGCACCCCAAGTGAGGCTGCACATACATCAAGTTCTGTGTGTTGTCCTTTTTTTGTTCCTTTCCTGTGCCCTGACCCTGTGCCTCACTGTATAAGTTCCTAGTGTGTCCATTTATGCTGAGCTGGGCATGAGTCTTGCCATGGTGGGGCTGTAGCTGCTCAGTTGGAAAACAGCAATACTCACGTGAGGTTGCATTTACCGGCAAGCCTTTTTCCACCTTCCCACTTCCTTGCCTTCCTCCAGCTCAGAAGGCTTCCTCTGTAACCCCTGCTCCAGCCCGTTCCTTGCCACTGTGAGCACTTGCAAAGCCCATTCCTGACCTGGCGTGCTGTAAACTCTTTGGATAAAACATGGAAAGATGACCATGTTGGCCTAGCAACAGTCTGGGCCATGGGGGTACAACATTAGATTCAAAAGGAAGAATCTCTTTCTGAAGTCCAGAGGTAGCCCGAGGTGCCTTGCAGTGCCTTAGTTTGGACCTCCCTCTCTTCTGTAGGCTCACAAGCCAAGCCTTGCCCCTGACCCATACACAGGTGGGATGCAGGCAACCTCCCCGAGCATCAAGGAGGCTGGAATTCAGGGTCTTGTGGCCACTGCAACCTGCTCTGTGGCTGTTCTGCTGGGCCCTCAAGTGGCACCCGCCTGCACCAAGCTGTGCTCACAGCTACCTCTTAGGGTACTCTGCCAGCTCTGAGGCCAGCAGAGGGAGGCGTCCCTGCTTCATACAGTCCCTAGACAAGCCAGCCCCTGGTCTGTGTGCCAGTGACCCACTGCAGCCAATGCCACAGTGCTCAACAGCAGTGCAGTCACCATGCCTGCCCCTTGCCTCTTTATAAACATCCTCTTTCCTCCTTACTGTTCTTTCCATGACTCTGACACCTAGTTCCCTTTGCACCTGGGCTCGCTAAGCCCAGTGTCTCATGCATTGAATTGCACTCATGTATTTTCTGCTAGGAACATCCATCTCCCCAACAAAAATGATCACTATTGGAGAGTCACAGTGGAGGCAATGTGGAGCTGGGGGATGGCTCAGCATGCACGTAATAGGAGAGCAAAAGCCTGTAGTTGATGGAGGGGGAGTAGGGTAAGTCATGGGTGTGGACGCATGCCCACTCTGCCCCAGGCCTTGGGGCCTGACACGGTGGCTCGTACATTTTCCAAGCTCTTGCAGCTGCTCTAATAGGCAGGCATGGATCTGGGGAGGTGCGGTGGCTCCCTCATAGGTGGCAAGTTGGACCAAGTACCCAATCTGGCTTCAGTACCCGCTCATAGCTCGGAGGCTCCCAGGGCCTGGTCCGGAGAAGGAGCTCCAGGACAGATCCTGTTGGCCCTGCTTGCTGGTGTGCTGATCCTCTCTCTGGGCCCCATTGCAGAAGGCAGAGAAGTAGGAAAGGCACCGAGTATGTGTGTAACTATAGCTAGCCCATCCACCTGTGCGTACCTCTGCTGATGTGGACAGCAGCTCAGAGCTGGACTCCCCCTAGGGAGTGACAGAAGGCTTGCTGCAGCCCCCAGCTTCATCCACCTGTGTCTGGGAGCTCCCCCTGCTCTCCTCTACATAGGCCAGAGAGTCTGGCAGCCCCTCCTCCTCCTACAGCCTCCTTTCAAGCTGCTGATAATGTCAAAGGAGATAGAGGTAAGATGTTTGCCACCAGAATACCTCCTCCAGCCAACAGGGATGTGGCAGGGTTGGTTAATCTGAGAACAGGATGGGGACCCCGGTGTTGTCCAGAGATCTGGGCTACTGGGAATTGCATGGGGACCCCAGTGTGTTCTTCCTCATAGCCTGGAGCAGTCCTCCAATTGGAATTTTGGTTTGAGTGGAAAGAGCTTAGAGTGAAGCAGGCTGGGGTGCTGGGATCTTGGATGGAAAACTTAGAACACATGTGGAAGCATGGCAGGTGGGGCTGTGGACGTCTCCAGCCCAGCAAGAGGAAGACAGAGTGCTCTCATGGTATCTTGTAGCCAGTTTTCAGCAGTGCTTCCTGGCACAACATTGTGTGCATGGAATAATCCGAATGGGCAAGGGTACGCTTAAGGATCTGGCCTTAGAAAAGTTGTAGTTGATTCCACTTCCAGTTGATTCTCCTGCTGGCAGCTCAGGTCAATACATGGTTTGCAGTGGTTGCCATCTCTCTGGTTGCTGGGCTGGGTGGGATGTGTAGGTGGGGGGAGAGTAGAAGATGAGGAGCTCTTGAAGGACCCTGGTTTGCAGAAAGCAGCCCTGACTAAATCCACCTCTGTGTGTAGGCAGTTGTGGGCAAAAATCATGCAACTGTTGTTACATTTTGACCACAGCACAAGCAAATGGGCTACATGTCTAAAGGCTTTGGTTGGCACACGCGCCCAGTTTTCACCTAGGGTAAAGGGCAGAGATCCATCCCTGCCAAACACTCAATAAGACCATGAAGCAGATGGGTTGTGAGTATTAAAGTTCGGGCAGAGTGATCATTGGCAACCCACACAGGTTCATTGAGAAAAAATTATGGCGACCTCATCTCATTTACCAGGGTTATACATTTAGTGACTTCAAGAGGAATTGTAGATATAGCGAATTTTGATTTTGGCAAAAGTATTTTATGGTCTCCCCTGGGAAGATGTTGTGAAGTGGGTGCAGAGCCTCTCTTCACATCATAGAGGGAGTGAGTTAGTGACTGTCGGCTGGGAAGGCAGTCCCAGCATTATTCTCCCTCTTGTCCCATTCAGCATCTTGCTTGCTTGTTTTTTAAATTCATGATTTAGATGTAGCGTAGGGATGCTTAGCTAGTGTGTAGTTGGAGAGCATAACTAACACTGTAAATGACAGAGCCCAGACTCAAAACCATCAGCATCTTTGAATGCTAATTTGAAATCTGCAAGACAAAATGTTAGCAGGATAAATCTGGAATCCAGTGTTTAGTTGAAAACAAAAATTAAGCCATACCAATAGAAGAAGGCTCCACTTACTACTGATTTGTGCAAGAGAATAGTAAGTATTTAGTGGACCGCCCATTTATGATCAGCATACAAAGCTGATAGGAATTCAATCGCTGTTGTTGATGAAGAATAATATGATTAATAATCCATAGTTTTGAGCACTTATGGCATTAAATGCTTTGCATATATTAACTAATTTAATCCTCCCAACATCCCCAGAGGGAGATTTTGCATTTGAAGAAACAAGATCTCAGGACTAGTAACCTGATCAGTCTTAGAATCAATGATTTGCAGAAGGGTTAAACCCCGTCTCTGCAGGTCTGTGGCTCTGGTCACAGTTCAGTTCAGAAGAGGTGAGATTCGACACTCTGCATCCCTGCACTGGTGTCATCTGTGCTGGGGACTCCAATTCCAGAAGGATGATGTCTGCAAAGGCCCTGCCCAGGGGCAGACCAGCTGGCCTGTAGAGGAGTGTTGGGGCCTGGTCTGGGCAGGGATCTGAGGTGTCATTGAGCCTAAGATCCTGATGGTGAAGGAAAGAGGATCATGATGAGCTTCATGAGGTCCATTGGATGAAAAGTCAAAGCCCATTAGTTGGAGCTACCTGCTTCGTGGGGTCACTGTTCTCCAGGACAGTCCTGGAAGAGGCTGGGTAGCCACCAGTCAAGGGAGTGGACGTGACAATTCCTACTCTGAGGGGGAGATTCTGTGGAAGCACATCCTGAAACACATGTAGCCCAAAGACCCTCACCCAGCTTTGTGGTTCTAGGTGGTGGGTGGGTGTCACAACCCTAAGGTGGTCACCGTGCTTGCCTGGGTGCAGATGGGATGTGCAACCAGAAGGTGACTGATGGTCGCAGTTCTGTCTGCCTCTTCTGGAGGGTTTTAGAGGGATATTAGCTGAGACTGCATTGATGTGCACCTGCAGAGAGAGCAGGAAAGGCTCTTCGTTGCCAAAGGTGGGTTTATGGTGGGTGCTCGTGAAATGTCAAATACAGTTAATGAGCTGCATCCAGTCTGCTACTGGTTCTAAACCAGACCTTAGA